CACCCACACACACACACACACACACTAGCACTCACAGTCAGAAGGCAGAGAGCGTGAGCCCAGACGCATCCGTTACTGTGGATGGGCAGAAGTGGTGATGGAGTGTGCAAGCGTTCTCCTCTGACTGCTTCTGTTTTCTCAGAGAAATAGGCAGCAAGGTTGCCAACTGAGAGTCAAGTTTGGGGAGGAGGTTTTGAGGTTTGAGAATACGGAGTCTAAAAGTCTAAACTCTTTTTGGAGTGTGCCTGTGATGAAGAGTGCGAACTTGCAAAGCAAGTATAGTAAGAGGATCTCTAGAGTCTTTCTCTGTTGTCTCCAATTGTGGCTAAAGTCCTACATCAGAAAACAACAAATGCTAAGTCTCCCCTCTCCTACCCCCTTGTGCCCCCCACCTCTACCACCATGTTCTAGAGACTGGAAGGCCTTGGAAAGAAATCCCCGTAGAGCATACAAGGAGGTAGCAGAACTGCTCTGTTATCAGACCTCCCTTCCCCTCCTCCATCAGCTGAAAACCAGGGATTTGAAAGAAAAATCATGAGAGTCACAGTTTTGTGGGGGTTTTCCCTTCCCTTCCTGAAAGAGGAGGGAAGCTTCTTTGCCCCTCACAACAAGCCAAAGCAGAGAAGGCCTACCAGCTGAAATTGAGGGTGACCACATGAAGGCAACAGAGGCTTCTATCTCCAAGTTGGATGTCTGCCGGGCAGTCTGATCTGTGCTCAGGGACTATCTGAGAGGGACGGGGGGAAATGTAAAGACAGTGGCAGGTGGGGCAGCCTGCACTCCCACTGGTGGAAGTGATGAGCAAGGATGTTTCCCTTGGGCTGAAAGGACCCCTCAGAAGACAGGTGGCTTTCCCACCAGTGCTCCACCCATGAAGACAGTCTCAGGGTAACGCTGGAGAGAAGCAAGGAACCTCAGAAGGGGAGGGGAAATGAGAGGCATCCATGGAGAAATGCGGTGTCCCCATTTCTCCCCTAAGCCCTTGAACTCAAGACTGACAGTGGTGGGGAGGAAGGAGGGTATGACATTAAAGTTTCAGAATTGATTAAACTGGACCGTGATTCCCACTTCTGGCAATACATCCAAAGGAAATGAAAACAGGATCTCAAAGAGATATCTGCATCCCATGTTCACTGCAGCATTATTCACAGTAGCCAAGATATGGAAACAACCTAAGTGTCTGTCAACAGCCGAATGGATAAAGATGTAGGATATATATATACAATGGAATATTATTCAGCCATGAGAAAGAAGGAAATCCTGCCATTTGCAACACCAGGGATGGACCTTGAGGGCATTATGCTAAGTGAAATAAGCCAGACAGAGAAAGACAAATACTGCATGGTCTCATTTATATGTGGAATCTTAAAAAAAAAAGAAAAAAAAAGCCAAACTCATAGAAACAGAGAGTAGAATAGTAGTTTCCAGGGGCTGGGGGATGAGGGAAATAGGGAAAGGTTGGTAAAGGTGTTATCAACTCAGCTATAAGATGAATAACGTCTGAGGATCTGATGTATAACATGGCAACTATAGTTGATAACACTGTATTAGATAATCGAAATTTTATAAAATAGAACTTGAATGTTCTCACCAAAAAAAAAAAAGATAAATAAGTGCGGTGATGAATGTGAGGAACGTGTTCATTAACTGGATGAGAAGAATCCTTTCACAATGTATATCAAATCACCACACTGTACACGTGAAATGTCTGACAATTTTTATACATCAATTATATCTCAATAAAGCTGAAATTTAAAAAAATGGACTGGGATGGACTGGATTGGTTTTTTAATCCCCCCACCACCAAAGACCAAAAATAAAAATATGTGATCTGCCCACTATGATGCTAAGGGACAGGAAAAGCAGCTTCAACAGAGTATGTATGAAGGCAGCGGGTGGAGAAAAATAAAATCATTTCGTGGTTGCTTCTCACTAAATTCAGACCACACCAAACCAGTCACAGAGATATGAAACAGGTCCTGCCTCAGATTCCACGTGTAAAAACTCTTCCAACCTTTTCTATATTGTATGATTTAGGCATCTCAGGTCCGCTGTTTGACCAGTGTTGAGAGAATTCTAGTGCTCTGCCTTGAAAGTGCCAGCTCTCCTAACCACAGGTAAAAGAAACCTCAGACAGATAAGATGAAAATGTTTTCTCTTCTCCTACAGCTGCAGAAAAGCACACATGATTCTGCATTATCAAGCCCATTCTTATCAAGTGGGAAACTGAAAACAGTCATGAGATTCTCCATCTTAATCTTCTGCTCAGGAATCTTGTGTTAAAATGTACTGTTTTCTGTTATTCTAAACTGTCCTCAAAATATTTATACAAAGGAGTCTTTTACGATGCGAATTTAAGAGATTACTCCTATGTTGTGTGAACTGTAACCTACCCCCACAAAAGTCTCCATTTCTGATTGGCTGTCCTGCTGAAGAATCTGTTGTCCTAGTTGTAATATTTAAAATGACGTGTCTGTTTCCTGAAACATATAAATACACTGGAGAGTTTTCTGAGCCAGAAAAAGAGCTTTGGAATTTCCTTCTCCCTTGATGTACAAACAAATTATAAATCCTGCTCCAAATACAGAGTGGAGAGCCGTGTCTCATGTGAGTCAGCACACAGGCATGGTTAAGGCATTAAATTCTCTCTCTCTCACAGCACCTGTTGGCCAGGTTACCCCTGACCATTGTGAAGTGGAGGGCATACAGAACAGAAGCAAGCATCATTCATCAACACAACTTGATGAACTTCCAGAGTCAGTATTTACTGACTGTCTCTCATGGGGCAGGCAGGGAGGCCATGAAGAGAACAAGACATGATCCCTCACAAGGAGCCTGAGATTGCCCCAAAAGACACACACTCACCACACAACAGCATCAGCGCAGTGACAGGGCCAGGACAGAAGGCTGTGGGTGTAGTGAGCAGAAAGCCGGCAAGTGCCCGAATGCTCAGAGCAGGTTTCACCTGCAGGTTCTACTGGAGCTGGGGCTCAAAGGCTGAGTAGGAATTTCCTATGTGAAAAAGGAGAGGGCAGAGCACCAAGAAATGAAGAAAGGGGGTGAGGTATTCACGGACCATGACTAGAAGCTCAGCATGATCAATTTGTTATTTGTGAGATAACCCTGGAGGGCAATGAGGAAGGCAAGATTGGAGTTAGAGGCACGAGACAGGAGGCTAATGAACGACAGTCATCTAATAGATACTGACGACGTATCTCCTGTGTGCCAGGTTCTGTCTAGAGGAGAATAAAGACAAGCAAGCAGGTGACAAGAAAACTGGTGACATGTGAAGTGCCAGCCCAGGAAAGTACAGAGCGCAGCTGGGAGCAGCATCTCCCCAGACTCGAGTAGCTTGGATTGCAGAAATCCAGCTGAAAAATACTTGGTGCAAGAAGGTAAAAGAGGTGATAGATTTAAAAGATGTTTAGGAGGGAGAACCACCTAGCAGATGCTGTTGGGACCTCATACACCCCTCACTGTTCCCACGCACCTTACAGCTTTCCCCTGCAAGCCTCTCTGAGTCTTCACCGGAAGACATCTGTGTTTGGCTGGCACAAGGGGCAGGTCAAGAAGCACCAGGGAGTTAGCATCCCTGGCAGTGGTCTTCAACCAGTGTCAGATGGAAGTCGGTAGAGAAATACCTCAGGTTTGCTTGCCCCTCCGGTGGGACAACTCTCAGGAGTGCCTAACACAGAGGACCCGGGTGGACTGAGTCCCAATCACCCACAGTGGTAACCTGCTCATTAACGCCCCTTGTACTGGCTCCTTTCCCTTCCCTGTCTCACTTCTCCACCCTCCCACCAGTGCTTCCTGAAATCACCTCCCAAATAAACTACCTGCACTCCAATCCTTGTCTCAGAGACCACTTTTGAGGGAACCCAACCTGAAACAAACAGAAAAAAACTTAGCGAAAGATTAGACAATGAAAATGAAGACTCAAATACGAGGCTGTGAGATATCCAGCTTGGGAGACGCTGAGCCCATCAACCGAGATAAAGACTCTTCAGGATAGGAAGACGGATAGATTCAGGGAGAAGAGAATGAGTCTGGAAAGACTGAGCTTAAGGTGCCCAAGGGACTGTGTCAAAATTCCCTGAGTACAAGGTTAAAACTCTTGACTAGAAAAAGTGAAAAGAAACTGAACAGAAAAGGGACTACACGAGATGAGAAACCACCAGAAATGAACATTACATCTCCCTAAAGGGCACATACAGTATCTTCCTTTGACCCAAGAGAATACAAAGCCCTAGCTATCTTTTCCAGCCGGTTTCTATATTCTAGTTTCTCATAGTTGGAGGGACTCACTCCTTTAAAACCATACATAACTCCCCACCAGCAGCCAGCAATGGCAGCTGTAGAATCACTGTCTCCACCATGGAAAAAGGCTCGGTGGGCAAGCTCCTTCCAGGAATCTCCTGCAGCCAGGACAGCGTCGTAGGCAATCATGGGGGCGTCGTGCCCACTGCTGCCGCCCCAGCCAGAGTAGCTCACGGAGGTGTAGAACTGATCCCTCTCCTTCACACCAAAGGGCTTGGGGAAGGTAGGGGCCGATTTGCCATCTAAAATCCCTCTAAGTTTTAGGTACTTTTCCCATTGGTCTTCGAAGTAGGGCCTGCAGGAAGGAAAAGATCTACAGTCAATTGAAAAAATAAAGTCAGGGGCCAGCCTGGCAGCATAGCAGTTAAGTGTGCACGCTCTGCTGCAGCAGCCCGAGGGTTCACAGGTTCGGATCCCGGGCGCGCACTGACATACCGCTTGTCAAGCCATGCTGTAGTGGTGTCCCATATAAAGTAGAGGAAGATGGGCACGGATGTTAGCCCAGGGCCAATCTTCCTCGGCAAACAAGAGGAAGATTGGCATCAGATGTTAGCTCAGGGCTGATCTTCCTCACAAAAAAAAAAAAAGAAAGAAAAAATAAAGTCAAAAGCCATAACAAAAGATACCAGATGGAACAGAGAAAATTCCAAGATGACTTCAACTTCTTGTACTAATATTGTAAACAATATAAAAAATCAATATAAGCTCTAAGTGACATTCATTCAATTTTTGCTAAGGATTGATATAGACAAGGCATTGATACTTGTTGCTAAATAAAGAAAATATATATCATGTTAAAGGTGAGAAATAGAGGTTTGTTTTTCCTAAGTTGTGAATAATGTCAAGTGTCACCTTTCAAGGGGGAGCTTTATTTATTTAGTCCATCATTATAGTTTTTATTTTATTTTCTCACTAAAAATTGTATATATTTCAGGTGTACAACATGATGACTTGAAATACATATACGTAATGAAATGATCACTACAGTCAAGCTAATTAACACATTATCTCCTTACATAGTTACTTTTTTTTTTCAAGAGGGAACTTTGGAACATCATGACCATCGGTGATTTCAGCAAAAAGCCTCCGAACTTTTTTATTCTAAGAAAGGCAATGTGAAATGAACTCACAAAAAAAGGGGAAGATGTGGCCTTTACCACTTATTAACTAGCCGGTGGAAACCTATCTCTCGGGCATTCTAAGCAAGGATTCAAAATATTATTTGTGCGTCAAGACAACAGTAAAAAAAAAAAAACAAGCTCCAGGAGATAAGTGGGAAAGTTCATCTTAGTAGAGGAGAGCCACAAAAACTAGAGACAGGTGGAATATAGAACAGGAGCCCTATACGAGGGAAGCACTGCAGGTGCACTGCTCATTGAGGTCTTCATGTGGCTACTTAGCGGCAACCACTGCTGGAACTGAACTTGAAATCCTTAGCAGGAGGGCAGGGAGGGGGCTGGATGCAGTGGATGACAAAACTGGATGGTGAGAACCATGGTAAGAGCTACGCTCTATGAATTCTAGGCACACTCGCATGCTCTGTGCACACAGATTCAACCACTGTCTAGCAGGAGCATGTGCCTACACACTTACCAGTGCTGAAGATTCTCCTCCACAAAGTAGCCTGATTGGACAATGTACTTTTTAGCTTCCGGTAGCACCTCCATCAGTCCTTTGCCCCACTGATGGGGAGGCTTGCCGTTCACAGCATAGGCTGTAAAAAGAGCAGACACGAGGGCTCCCAGGTAGCCTGTGGGGTGGTGGTGGGTCATTCGGCCGCTCTCGATGCTCACCTGGATCAGCGTGGCCAGCTGGCTGTGGTGAGGGAACCTAAGACCGATGCACATGGCTCGCATGGCAGCCCCGCAGCCGCCCTCGTGGCTGTTAAAGGGGATCCTCCAGCCATTCGCCTTGTCGGGCTTCAGCAGCATGGCGTTGTGCATTGAGGTATCCCCTGGGGAGAGTCGGGTAGGGCATGGGGTCAGCAGAGGAAAGAACCCAGCTCTGTCTCCAAGTTTCTTTGACAGAAAAGGAAAGCCAAGAAAATACGATGATAAATGCCCCCAAATTCCCAACCCTGAGCCAACACTGTGCCTTACTTTATATATAACCTTCAGCATGACAAGATTAATAAGAAAAGAAGCAGATTCACAGAGAGAGCTTTGGAATCTTTCAGTTATTACTGAGACATCGCGATAACTCAAAAAAATAAATATAACATAGTCTCTTTTTTAAATGAATAAGCTAAGGCTCAGAGCTTAAGAACCTTGCTCAACATCACAAAACCAGCTAGTTAGCGGCCCTGTCAAAACCATCAGACTTCCAGCCCAAGCCCTAAAAGAATCCAATGAGAACCTGACAATTAGTGTTCCTGGATGTCAGAAAGATACCCCAGGTTCTAGAATGAAGAACCTGGGCTCAGAGGAGGAGCAGTGGGTTCAGTAACAACGTGCCCTTGGGTGCTCTTGGTTTTCCCCTATGTGAGAGCAGGCTTGTCCCATCTCCCCAGCCTACTGGGAGCTGTGAATGCACACGTGAGCCAAGCCGTGGCAGTTAACACACTATAGGGTGCAGTATTATTGTTCCCTTATGGTCATTTTATTCAAACAACGTTATGGATGACATAGGTGGACAAGGAAAACGTTCCACTTGCCAAACTTGAAGAGATACCAGATGTTGAAAAAAGATGAACAGAGACTGGCTTCTAAGGCCAATTCTTGGGGTCAGAGACTCCTGGCTGTGTGGGGGGGAGCTTTTCAGCAAGAGGTATATCCCCCAGAATTCATATGTTGAAGGCCTAACCCCTAGTACTTTGGAACGTGACTATATTTGGAGATAGGGCCCTTAAAGAGATGATGAAGTTAAAATGAGCACGTTAGGGCTGGCCCTAATTCAACCTGACCCATGTCCTAATAAGAAGAGGAAATTTGGACACACACACACGTGTGCTTTGAGAGGACACAGCTAGGGGGTCATCTGCAAGCCAAAGAGATGGGCCTCCATCAGAAGACCACAACTCTCCAACACCTTCATCTCAGACTTCTAGCCTCCAAACCCGTGAGAAAATAAATGTCTGTTGTTAAAGCCACCAGTCCGTGGAATTTTGTTATGGCAGCTGGAGCTGATTAAGACAGGAGGAGAGGCAGGTCAGACGGGCTAGGGAAAAGGTGATTCAAATCACCTGGGGGCCCAAGTGGCTGTAACAAGTTCCCAAAGCAAACAAGAACCACTTGTGAGCAGACCTGGAACCAGAAAAGGAGTAGCTACAAGACCCCTTCCATTCCATTTTAACAGAAAATTGTTTTCTTTATAGTTATTACAGAAAACTCAGAAAATACAAATAAGCAAAAAGAAAATAAGAAACTATATATACTCCCATCACTCAGATTTAATTGTTAACATCTTTGTATATACTCTTCCAGATCTCTCCCAACAGAGATACACATATATACTTTTTTTTTTTTTTTGTGAGGAAGATCAGCCCTGAGCTAACATCTGTGCTAATCCTCCTCTTTTTGCTGAGGAAGACCGGCTCTGAGCTAACATCTATTGCCAATCCGCCTCCTTTTTTTTTCCCACTTTCCCCCCAAAGCCCCAGTAGATAGTTGTATGTCATAGTTGCACATCCTTCTAGTTGCTGTATGTGGGACGCGGCCTCAGCATGGCCGGACAAGCGGTGCGTTGGTGCACGCCCAGGATCCGAACCCAGGCCGCCAGTAGCAGAGCTCACGCACTTAACCACTAAGCCACGGGGCCGGCCCCACATATATACTTTTAATGACAACGCGTTCATAAGATACATACTTTTTTGTAACCCACCTCTTTTTTACTTAATATATGATATCTTTCCATATCAGCAAATATTTATCAGCATAATTTTAAATGGCTGCAACATGCCACCATAACTATATAAATTACAGAACATTTAGGTTACTTCCATTTTCATCACAACTGCAAAAACTATTGCTTCCTTGATATTTAAATCTCAATCAACATTTTTAATGACTTCCTTGGGCCTGTTTTATTCTCCACCTGCCCAAGACCTCTCCCGGCTGCGCTCACCTGGTGCCCGGCCGTCCATGTCCTCCATGCAGTCTTGGTAATGCTTAGCAAGGAGGGAATACAGTCGAGTCAAGTCTGAGACTTTCCCGGCTCCCACGAGAGCTTCCGCCGTGGCCAGGTGCATCACCGTGTCATCACTGACTCTCCACCTCTCCACGTCTATGGCGTCCAGGCCGCCCAGCTGGGCCAGCTGCTGGTGAATCTTCTCCCCATCCTGGAGGAACTCCCACTTCCTGTTGAAGAACCCCAAGGCATCTCCGGCAGCACTCAGCACCATGGCAGCCACATACCTCTCAATCATCCCCTCGCACATGGTGAGGCTGTCGGGAGGGAAAATTAAGACACACAGATGAGGAGAAAGAAGAACCAGAAAAAATCATAGCCCCATCTAAATTTTACTGAGCACTCATTACTTGTAGGCCCTGTATTAAGTGCATCTCATTTAGTCCTCACAACTGCTCTATGAGCAATGCTTTATTAGGCCCATCTTACATATGAGAAAATCGAGCATCACAGAGATAACGCAGTTTCAGAAACATCAGGACACTTGTTTTACTTACAGAGCTAATAAGTGGCAGGGCTGGGATTCCAACTTAGGCCCCTCTGACTCCAAAGCCCATGAGTTTAACTACGACTCCATATTCTCCTCTCTGTGAGTGACAAGCCCATTAAATTCTGCAAATCAAACCAAGCTTGTCATTTCCCTTTATAGACGGGATTTGGCCTTGAAAGTGCATCGCCCCTTTACTTAAATAATAGCACTTTCCATTGGTGTCACAATGCATGGTTCACAAGGCACCTTCACGTGCTCTGTCTCATTAGCAGGCAGGGACTACAGTATGCATTTCACAGACGAGGAAACGGAGGCTCAGAGACGGTAACTTCACACCACCAGCAAGGGGAGGCACCGGGACCCGAATCTTCTGATTCCAGGCCACTCCGAATAGACCTAGGAGCCTTGGGCAACCTCTTCCTGCCTCAGCCTCCACAACTGTAAAATGGTGACAAAAACAGTAACAGCCCTGTGGGTTTGTTGTGGGGAGTAAATGAATTCATTTTTGTAAGGCACTTAGAAGAGTGCTTAGCACATAGTAAGCACTAGCATTCAGAGACAACCACGGAAAAAGATTTTTCTACAGAACTAGAATGCTTTCTCCTCACAATCTCCCTTTCAACTGCAATATTTAAATTTTGTTTTCCTGCGGAATGACTGACGGCTAGAGTCTTGGATCTCAGCCAATATTCCCTCCCTGAATCTAATCCCTGGCAAAGTGCTGGCTTCCCTGCCATGCATTTCCAGTTCCTCACTGTGCCCTATCGCCTGTAGAATTCACCGTCAGAGCCCTCCACCGTCTCCCCCGACTCTATCCATCCCCTCCACCTGCACAGGCCACGCAAACACTCCTAAACGCCAGCGGACTAGCTCATTCTCCCTTCAGCTCAGGCTCTTTCCCCAGCCAAGATGCCCTTCCTCCCTCCATTTACCTAAACCCTATTGACTCAGGGTTAAGTTCAAGTCCTAGTGCTTCCGGAGTCCTCCTCCAGCTGCACTGCTACGGGCCAGGGGACTCGTGCCGGCGAGCACCTGGAGAAGAGTAAATGAAGGACTGAGCATACCAATACCGAGACGCTGATCATGCTGAGTTGCATGGCTCACTAAGGATATCTGTAAAACGTTATTTACATATTTTATTATTTATAAATGATGTCTAGGAACTGGAGTTCTGGGCTACTACACCTGACTCTGCCAAGCATCAGCTGTGTGATGGTGGGCAAGCCACCCACCCCGACGTCGATTTTCCCACCTGTGAATTGCAGAGTGGGGGAAGAGGGGTGTTACGCATGCTCCCTGGGATCCTGCGCTCCGCTGAGAGCTTCCGAGACCAAGCTTAGCTGGCTTCTGAGGCCCACCTTTTAACCCCCGTTGCGGTACCCTCTCCCCCAATGTTCTCAGCTTCCTTACTGTGATTTCTTCAGGCTCCACCCGAATGTGTGTTTCTGTGAGTTGCAAGCAGAGCTGGGGGACGATGACCCTCTCTTTCCGTTGGAATTGTACCTTTTACACGTACTGCTCTAGCCTTCCGCTTTCAGAACGCTGTTATTCCTTAAACTCCTCTGAACTTGTACAGTTTATATTCTTGCCCCCGAAATATGAATTCAAAACTAGGGTCTGGGCAGCTGCTTCCCGACAGTCACCAGCTTTTTTGGTGGGGGGAGGAGGGGGGGATGCCCGGGCAGGGGGGTGAGGGGTGCGCGCCCGGCCACCGCGGGGGAAAAGCGCGCGGGGGCCGCGGGGCGGGGTGGGCCGGGTCGCGGGGGTGGTGCGGAGAGCGCGCGCAGGTGACAGGGCGGAGGAGGGGTGGGGAAGGGGAGCGGGCGGGACGAGTCACCGCGGGAGGAGTACCTGGCGGCCGCGGGGAGTGGAGCGCGCGGGGCCGGGGGCTCAGGGCGCGGAAGGCCTAGGGCGGCGCCCT